AGGGGGGGTGGATTTTGGTTGCACAGGAAGGCTAAGCTCACAATACCAGGTGGCTTACCCCAAGGGGAGGGCAGGCTGAGCCAGGAGCCACGACTGTAAGCTAGAGAAAGACAGGAGCAAAGCCAGGGAGAGCTGTGGCTCAGGGACTCAGGAGTAGAGTAGCACTTACTTGTTGACAAGCAAGAAGTTTCCAATCAGGCACAGCACTGAGGGCACGGTGGAAGCAATGGAGATGTAACTCTCAAAATAGTCCTGCCAGGAATAAAAACACCAAACAAAACAAAGTAAAAAAGGCTAGCAGGAGAACAACACATGACTTTCAGGACCTAAATACAGCATCCATAGGGAGATGCAGTGTAGGTGTTCACCTCGTTGCATTGCAGCCCATGTTGCAAACTGCTCAGGGCAACAGGCAATGAGAATGCTGGAATTCATGTTCCCACAGCCCTGGGCTACTTCAGGAAATTAGAGACATAAATTCAGAGGACAAAATGGGGAAGGAAACACCTGCCCTACTGCTGCACAGGCACCATGTGGCAGCACCCAAAAAGGGGAGGGCTGAGTTTGTCCTGCTGGCTCCAGCATCCTGGACACCCCTCAGCTATTCCATCCTCTCTGAGCTCCGTGAGGGCTGGTTTTTATACATCAGGACATGACAGCATCAATATCATTAGCTAAGTGCCTGGAAAGCCCATGATGGGAGACCAGGACACCACACCTGAGGACATGCTTGTGCCAGAGCTGCCTGAGCAGGGACACAGAGACATTATTCTCCCTCCAGTTCTCTCTCTCTGCACAGACCACACTCGTGGAGAAACTCTATTAAAGACTCAGCACACATTTACTCCAGGGAGCTGTGTATCAGTGGAGCGAGGCAGCAGCAGCCCCAGCCAGTTCCCAGCAGCCCCCCTGGTGCAGGGGTCAGGCTAGGCACAGAGACAGAAATAACCACAGCACACACACATCTCTTGGCCAGCATTGCAGGCAAATGCTTACATTTCCCCTCCATGTTATGTATTACACTGTTGAAGTGTGCCTGCCCCCTCTCCTCCCCTCAAGGTGCTTAATCCCCTGTTTCTCCTGCCAACAGGTAGGATGATGCTTACAAAGAGGATGATGACCTACATCTCCATCCCTGTCGCAACAGGTTTGCACTGTCTGCAGTTCTCCAGCTACAGAGACAGAACCACATCATGTCTGAGCACAGGGAGGCACTTGGCACGTTTTTCTCTGCACGTTACATTATGGTTTTTACAGCTTTTCCCAATTTGTAATCAGTTTACAAGCACGTTCAGCTATTTCCCTATCAGAAGCTTCACTGTAAGCAACAGGAAACCTAAGAATCACTGCTAGAGGGTCCAGACAGAGAGAGATATACATGCCTGTGCTTAGGGCATCGGCTTGGCCAAGCGGGAGGCTCACAGCTCTGCAGCCACACAGTGAATTATAGGAGAGAAGACAAAGCAAAATGCAAAGCTAAACTCAGCTTACTTACCAACCTACTTAAAACAAACCCCCAGACCAGCCAGGGGATACTCAGGATACTTCCAAGTTAATTTTCTTTTGCTTTTGGGGAGGAGAACCAACTTTATACTGCTTTCCACCCAGCAGAAGTACACCTGAAGTAACCCAGCAAAGCTGCTGCATTTTGGGCATCCAGGGGAAACATTCGTCCCTTCCCAGCAAATGGGCTCACACCAGAGGTGAGAAGATAACTGGGGAACTGTTTAGGAGCCCTCACACCACATTTTTTTATGCAGCAGCAGAATGGTGGGTGGCAAATTCAATCCATGCCTGGACCAGTGGATAACATCAGGCTCATCTCTCCTGCTCATTAGGTTTTAATCCACCTCCGATGGAAACTCTCCTCCCTGTGTGGGTATTCCCACCAATCCACATGCTTTCAGAGCACATTCTTGGCTATGCAGGATACACCCAGCTCTTCTCCCTTTCTCCTGAGCCCTGATAATAATAATAATAATTATCCCCAAAGCAAACCTGACGTTTTCGTCACACCTCTTGTGAGGGTAGGTGTTATCCCTCAGTCTTTGAGCTGAGGCAGACAAAGGAGGTGTTTGACCCCCTATTAACCACATCTTCACACACACTGCCACAATGCCTTGATAGACCCCAAACAAGAACAAAGCATCATAGGGGCAAATCAGTCCCAAGATACTTTTGCAAAGCAGTTTTTATTCTGCTTCAGTCCAGACTTGGCAGTTGGGCTCCTGCCAGGCTGGAAAAGTAATCCAGGTCTGTGATGGTGGCTGAAGGCACCAGAGCATTACCTGGAGCACAGGGCATGAAATTAGCAGCAGCAAGCAGTCAGGAGCTGGCTGGAGCCAGGAGCAGGATGCCAGTCATAGATGCATCTTTCCAGAGCCCAGCTCTGTGTGCAGGTAAGCCCTCCTGCTGCAGCACTGTGGCTCACCATCCCAGGGCAGAAATGGTGCTGACTGGTTTAATTTGATCAGACTCAGCTGCCACAGAGAAGCCATGCTGCTTTTCCTTGGAGAAAGAAAAAAGCTTCATGCCACATCCACAGAGGAGAAACACCCTCTTGACAAAGACATGGCTGATCCAACCAGGAATACACCTATGCATGGAGACACCTAGGGATACTTACTCTACTTAAAAAGGTGGTGTTAGGTCATAGGTTGGCCTTGATCTCAGAGGTCTTTTCCAACCTGAATGATTCTGTGATTTTGTGAATTGCATTGGATCAACATGATGTAAAAGCAATGAGGAATGGGTGGGATGCAGGGAACGTGGGAGAACACCATGCCACATTATGACACAGCACACTTCACTCATTTCTGACCACCCTCACTAGCACAGGGGCAGACAATTTTGGCCTTCAGGCACCACAGGGACTTGGTCTCCATCAGTTTAATGCACTCAGAACCTTGATTTACACCAGCACATCTGTACATCAGCATCCTGGTATAAGCACAGTCAGTGACACTCTCCTTCCTTCCCATCAAAAATACAGCTTGGCTTAATAATTGTTAAAATTAAAAGAGCTGTGGGTGTACTGGAGTGAGAAATCAGAGGGACAACGTGGGTGTCACACCTGGCTCTGTGTTTATATAAACACAAGAAGTGCCCAAACCACCTGAACAAGCTCAGCCACAGGAGGAGGACGGGACACAGCCTCATTGCTCCAACACTTTTTCCAGCCACAAACAAAGCCATAGCTTTGTCAGGGAGGCACAGGGAAACAATCCTGGCATGGCAGAAGGAGCAAGAGAAGGCAGGTTCTTTGGGGAGAAAAAGAGAGGCCATCAACCTCCACCCCAGACCTGGTTCATCAATCACCCCATGACAAGCTCCTCGCCCCATATGCCAGAAGCCAGATGTTTACTGCTGCAAGGAGACACTCCAGTCACACCTGCCAAATCTTGAAGGACAAAAAAAACTCACCACAAAGACATTTTTACCTTGGACTGTAGAAATTGCCCTATGAAAGGCAGCCTTGCTTGTGGGGCAGGTTAAGCCAAATTTTTCAGATACACCTTAAAACTTAGCACTCCAAATAGAGGTAAAACAGATCTTTCTTGCAGCTATTTGTGCTCCTCAAATAAACCTCTACCTCTGGTTTGCGGTCAGTGAGACCCCAGAAGATGTCCACTCAGCTTCTGGGGAAGCAGACAGGGAAAAGAGCGAGTTAGGAAGGAACTCAGGTTTATTTGTGCCCTGAACGCAGTAGACTCACCTGCAGGTCTGACACTGCCTGCCCCGCCGGGCCAGCCTCGTCCGAGCAGTTCTGCAGCTTGTACATCCAGTAGTGCTTGGCTGTGATGAAGAAGTTCCAGGGCAGAAGGGACCCGATGCCCAGGAGGAAGAAAATAATGTAGGTCCCATGTAAGCGGTCGCTTGGCTTCTGCAGGCTGTACCTGCTCCCCAGGGGCTCCTCCAGCAGTGGCTCCTGGTCCTGAGGGAGGCTGCTGCCTGCCCTGTGCATGGTGCTGGCATCTGGAAAACACAACCACCCACAGGGATCTTATCACACAAGGGTTGCAAAATGCTGCCCACAAGCTGCTGTGCGTGGCTCCATCCTCCTTTGGCTCTGGCAAGTCACAGAACCACAGACTGGTTTGGGTTGGAAAAGACCTTGAAGGTCATCCCATTCCACTCCCCTGCCACAGGCAGAGACAACGTCCACTAGACCAGGCTGCTCCAAGCCTCATCCAACCTGGTCTGTAATGGCCTGGACCTTTCCCGGGGTGGGGCCAGCCACAGCTGCTCTGAGTAACCTGTGCCTCCCACCCAAACGCTGGATGAGTGAGCTAACTGGCTTGGCATAGGGATGGAAAGGCACAAGAGAAGGGACTGAGAGACGGCAGGGACAGACTCTGCTGCAGCAG